GTAATTGTGAAAAAATAGAATACAAATGGATTAAATTCCATATTTTAGTGGATATTCCATGATTGACTACATGTGGTTTGATGCTCTGTAGCAGTTATTCTGTAAAATGTATTTTTCATTAAAATGTCTCTGGTGTTCCTTTATTATGTGTAACACCAATGAGGATCAGTAACACCAGTGACTCCTATGGAGAGACAGAAAAGTGGACATTTCTGTAGAATGACCCATCTCTTACACTGGTTTATTGAAACAATATTGTTCTTTACTTGTATAATATAAGCAACAACAACAATAATAATGACAGCAACAATATCAGTAGTAAGAATAATAATAGTAGTTTGAATAATGAGGGCTGCTGTTTGCTGCTTTCTCCAGGTAAATACGTTTGTAAAGAAAGCTAAATGCCATTTTGCAGCTTATTTTAATTGTTAATGTTCACACAAAATTGTTTTTAGTAAAAAAGCTTGTGCTAAATGGAATTTCTGTTTTGTTGTGTTATTGAATCAGATATTGAGAATAGCGTTCCCTGGTCTTTATCTGATATACTGGTGTTGGTGTCATGCCATGTTAATGATTTTGAGTTTTGGTGGACTAGTGGATAAAAATAATAATAATAACAACAATAACATGTATGATTATTACCATCATCATCATAACAATAATAACAAATATTTATTTATATAGCACTTTTCATTCTAGTTACAACATCTCAAAGCGCTTCACACAGTAATATAAGTAAAACATTGGAAACATAGATAACAAAAACCCGTTAATTGTATATTAGTCGTTGGGTGCTTCCAGTTGTCTTGAAAGAGCCATTCAAAAATCTAAAAACTAAATATTTTTGAAAAATTGAGTTTCCTTTCTGGAAATCAGCCTGATTACCATTTACAATGCTGTTCCCTTAAGTTCCCTTTGGTGTAATGATGAGAGAAGCAGAACCCATCCAGTTGAAACAAGCTTTGTCAGGTTTGTGAGGTTTTCTAGCTTTTTAACATCATCTGATATCATGATTTCATATATGATACTGAATTCTATCGATACTGCTCAGCACTACTGTAGCCTACTTGGCACCGGACCAGGAGCCGCAGAGCTCGACACAGTGCTGCCTGTTTCCACCGAGACTCCGCTGCTGTAAATCATGTTTATCCGCCACATGGAGGCTATTTTTAGAATAATTACTCTGAGTTGAAGGATACTAGAGGAATATATCTGGCAACTGAAAGACGTCCTGCTGAGATACCAGTGATTAATTGAGTTCCCAGCGATAACTAGAACCGACAACAACCTCCATGGGGAAAAAACTGAGATTTATACTTACTCCCTTTTTTATTTTGGGTTTTGTTTTTTCTTTCTATCTTTGAGATGTTGATGTGTGTCTTAGGTCTGCACTGCACGAATCACTCCAGAGAAAAGATCTTGTTCATAGTTCACGGCTTTACTGCTGGAAATATGATATGTATGCTTTACTACTGAATATATGAAATTTCTTTCCGACTAGGCCTGTCAATAATCACCTAAACGCAATTATTTGAAATGATCACAATTATTTAAACCTTTAATGCTTTTATAGTCGTTAGATTTCTGCGATAAGCAGAATGTGAGCTGGATGTGCTGAGTTGATGTAAATAAACTGAAATAAAAGAAAGCAGTAAATGCGTTCATTAAGATATCAAACAAATCCTCTGACTTGGTGCTCAGCAATGCAGACAACAATCTCGCCTGGCTGGTAGGTAACGAAAAGACAGAGAAAGATTTAAGACGAACATTGATCATTTGGAGACAAACAGACTTATTTGTGTTTATAATCACTCCAGCTGGTTTCCTGATACGTTTAATCTGCAACGAGAAACTGACAAACACTAAAAAGTCTGTAGTCAACTTCTCGTTCTCGGTTACATTCTGGAGCCTCAGGCACAATTTAAGGTGGAACAGGAAAATTCAAACAAGAAGCTGGCAAATGTGAAGCGACTTCAGTAAAAAACGAACATTGACAGACATTTTACAAGAAACTATTCTACTTGCGGAAAAGTTTCCTGCTGGAGAAGTGAGAAAAGCAGCTGTAGCTGAGCTAAAGCTTAAAGCAGAGCAAAGTAAGTCTGAGTTTTGGTTTGTATTATATTTTTTAGTCTTTACCTGCACATCAGCACAGACTGAGACGTATTTACAGCCAAGATGGTAAAAAGGACATAAAGTGTTGTGGCTTCCAAAGTGGTTTGATTTTTGTTGAAAGGACAAAATGGCTCTTCTTAACATTTGGGTTGCGACCCCTGATTTAGTGTATTATTTCAACAACCACTATTAGCTATTAATCAAACATAGCTAGGAAGCAAGATGGCTTATCAGCCAATTTAGGTTCTTAGGTTAGAATTGTGTGCTAAAACTTTGGGCCTGTTGGTGGGCCCTGGCCTTTTGAGGGGTGAAACTGCTAATTGCAGTTATTTATATGACAATTAATCACAAGTCTATGTCCAACTGGTATTTACTACCTTTCACTCACTACCATAGGTGGATCTGCCATATGGGTGACCTGGGTGACCAGCTTCAAAAAAGAGCACAGTTATAAATGATTTTAATCTGCTAACATAACACTTTAAATCTATTCACACAGCACAACAGTCAGCCATAAATAATAATCCAGCCATAAATCTCCAAAAAGTATCATTATTGTGTAAATTTGACAGACAGTGACATCTATAAGGATAAAACATAGACAGGATCATCTTATAGTGATCTTCAGAAGCCAGCTGATGACCTACTGTTGGCATACCTGTCCAATCTGGACAAGGTCTTAGCTGAGAATGTATCTCTGGTTCCGTTGAAATGATTGTGAAGAATTGACAGAACAGGTCTTCAGCAAATTCAAGACCTTTTCAGCAAACAGTCTTACACACTTTAAAAAATGGTTCTTTAAAGGTTCTGTAGTAAAGGGGCTGGTTCTGCTTAGACCATGAATTTTACTCATTTCGTGCTCAAACGGTTCTTTGCTTGGTGAAACTGTATTTTAAATTGATGGAGAATGTGTTGCATATGGTTCTATATAGCCACAAAAAGGGTTCCTCTATTGTTGCGTCAATTTTTATGTCAAGCTTGTAACAATAGAACCCTTTTTGCTGAAAGATAGAACCATTTTCAAAAAGCTTTGATACAGAACCATATACAACACATTCTCCCTCAATCCAAAGAACCACTTTACCATGCAAAGAAGCATTTAAGCATGAAATGGTTCTAGATAGAACTCATGGTTCTAAATAGAGCCATTAGCTTTACTGAAGAACCCTAAATAAGTGTAGGTTATTATAAGGGGTTCATGGGGATAATGCGCTATAGCTCTAACGCCCAGGGGCACCACAGGACCTTAACCTGGCTTCTCACTGTAAACCGAGGTTTTAGTCCTGTAGCAGCTGAACAGCTGAGGTGTGTGTGGTCAGCTGAGTTTGATGGCTGTGTTTTAGTCCGGTCACTGTCGTCTTTTACTGAGACAATCTGTAGACGGTTACAGTGAATTACTGAACTGTAAGTCTAAATAGATCCATTCAGAACAGACAGTCACATCTGACCCTTGCTGAGCTCTGTACTGTATGTCAGTCTGACCTCCATTTTAAATATTTTACACTTTGATTAAAGCTCTGACCTCTTAATCAAGTACTCCATTATTTTCAGCAGGATAGATGGCAACCTTGTAATGAGACAGACTCCATTTTCCTGCCTCCAGCTCTTCTGTGTGCCGGCATCACAGCTTTAGACAAGGTCGCCGCCGCTCAGCGTTAAAGGAAAATATTTGTTGGAAAATGTTAAAAGAGGTTAACGATGTCTGGACCATTCAGGATCAAGTAGTATTGTTGAAAGGAACGATGTTAAGAGGATGTTTGTACAGCGGCTTTTTCAAACCTCGTGGTGAAAAATAGAAAGACGTGCTCCTTAGGAGGCGGGTTCATGAATTTGAAAGTGAACACAGGACAGCGAATGAGAGAACATAAATATACAGGGTGAACATTTTGGAGCTGACATAATACTCTATACTATATGTTCAGGTGTTCGCTGCAAAAATGATATCTTGGCAAGTGAAATCATCTTAAATGTAGCCGATTTCTAAAATTTCTCATGATAGAAATCTTATTATAGGACTATTTAACTTGTTTTAAGTATTTTTATAAGAAATATTATCTCATTATATTGGCAAATAACTGCATATTTCTAGCCTATTTCTTGAAGCAAGTAAAATTATCTGCCAACATAGTGAGATAATTTTATCTAGTTTTCATGAATCGTTAGTCATGTTAGCAGAGTTACACAGAGTATCTTCCTAACAGTGTCTTACTAACAATCTATGAGCAAAGAAACTGTCAGAAAATGTTAACCTTAGGCCTCATTTACCAACCGTCCTAAAGAGTTTTGATGAAGATTCTAGCTCACCGATGTTCTCTTGTTTGGGGTTTATTCTTATGTAGGAACAGAATCTACAAACACTCAAGAGAACAAAGGTGAGAACAGTTCTGCGCTTTAAGAACACGTCATGAATCTGACGCAGATTTTTCTCAAAAACACACTTAAGAACAAACTTAGGAAGATTCCGGTGAATGAGGTCCAGTGTCTAATTATGTTTAAACACTACTAAGAATCAGTTAGTATTATCCAAATGGCTAATAATGTTTGAACACCAGTAGAAATCTGTTATTATTATCGAAATAAACAGAACTGGTTTTTAGTGGCTTTCTTTAACATTTCTTAGCGCCTCCTGTGGTGAATAAAAATGTTCCAAAGCTGATACGTTTTGTACTACATGTATTTTTCATCTTATATGTCATTGGGATCCTCTGACACAGCGTCCGATAGTGGTGAGTTTCTGTAACTGATTTTTTTTAGCCCTAGTGTAAAAGGCTGAGCCTGTCACTGTCGCCTATTGTCAGTCATGTTAGGCAGTGTGAGGCAAAGCATCTTCTTAACAGCATCTCATCAACAATCTAACTGTTACGTTCTCTTTGCATCCGAATGGGCAGGTACTTTCATCTCAGCCTTCACGGTGCTGTGTGGTGCCAGGACGGATCTGCCGGATCGACACGTGTGCTGCGTGTTCTGGCTGAACATCGCCGCGGCCTTCATCCAGATCCTCACCGCCGTGGTCATGGTGGGCTGGATTATGAGCATATTCTGGGGCATGGACATGGTCATCCTCGCAAGTAAGCATCATACCAGGCTTGTAGAAACACAAAACATCCCCCAATGTTGATAATCCTAAAGACCAAATACAGAGAATGTAGCTGTCCCACAGGATGTTCTGTACCAGTCAACTTTCAGGCGACTGCACCACTTCACTGAGAACAGAAATTCAACATAGGGGTTTTTAATTACATGTATGTAAGGTGAGAATCCCTCAAGTTATGTTTAAATCAAAGGGATCCATGTCTACGCGGTGCCTCCCACTTCTGCTGCTTTTTAAAGCATCTCTCCCCATTCTAATTTGCAAATCTGGAACCCTTTGAAACAACGACAATTCCTACTATATGATTGTAGGGAAGCGGATGGAAAGCACTGCGATAATTGCTACGTGTAGGCGGTTGAGGCAACTCCCAGGACTCTCTCTTTCTCTGTATGTTGCTCGTGTAAAAGCTGCACCGTGGTTGAATGTAATTCTCCCTAACGTGTTTCAAACCCGCTGTGATCGTCTTCAAACATAGCCTCTGTTTTCCTGCAGTGTTGTAACCTGGGTGAATATGAACGGGGATGTTTTCACAAGACTTGCTATTTTCAGACAGCAGAGAATTAACTTCAACCATTTTCCCATTTCTTTTCCATGCTGCTCCACTTCGATCTTCAAGTCTCTGAAGGTAGGTGTGTCATTCTGTGCATGACTCTTGTTTCACAAAAAGCTCCTCAGACCTTCCTCAAAATGAACAATTCCTGGTATTTTTAAAAATATCTTAAAATACCAGAATTCTATCTCTATAGTGAAATTAATTAGCTGTTAATACTTCAGCCTAATCTGTCTGCAGCATTTACAGCATGCTGATTACCACAGATAACACCTTCTCTGTACTCAGGAAAGAACTGAAGCATCTGCCCATTGGCTTCTATTATTAATGCACTTCAAGTCAGGTTTTCTGTTCTTTTCTAAATACAGTAAGCGATCAATGGTACAGTACAGATGTGCCAGATAGAGATTCAGTTATAAAATGCTAGAATATTCCTTTCAACTCCTGAATCGGTGCTTTGATGCAGGTCTGACCACAGCACAGCCTGGCCAGCCAACCTTTCCCGTTAGCCTGTTAGCCTTGCCGCTCCCGTTTAGTTCACTTCAATCCATCTCTGCTCGTGTGCCTCCCACCTCCTCCCATCTGTCAGTCTCTTTGCAGGCCGTTTGATCTTGGTTTTGTCTGCTGCATGCCAGTCGAGAGCCGTCTCCGCGGTGCCCATTATAATGAGATAATGCTGAAGATTCATAGAGACAAAATGGCCCTGCTTCCCTTCAAACGCGCTCATGGATGAGGCCACTTAGACACTTTGTTTTTATCGCATGTTGGCTTTGAATAAGATTAGCTTATAATTAACGTCGTCACCGGAGCTCCGCGGAGTTAACTAAAGGCTGGAAAATGAGCTTGTGCTCTTTCTTTTAAAGCTTTTGTCACCGTCTTTTTAAAGGCAGCGGCTTTGATGCATCACCATGAATCATTTTTAAGTTCATCATGTTTTCAACTGGCTAATAAGCATCAGGAAATAAAATCCAACGATCCAATTTGACCAAACTGAAATTCTTAAATCCTTCAAGGTAAAGATCTGCACATGAAAAGGGTATTAGCCTCGTATAATGTGGCACCTGTAAGGTGGCGTATTAGTCATGTGATAGCACAGCAGTCTTCTTATCCCTCCAGGCGGTCTGCTGATGTGTCAAATGCAGCCCAGATCCAGGTGGCTCTTCAAGCCCCAGTCAGGAATCGCTGCAGCTGGCAGGGTGTAGCTGTTTTCGCTGATTTTTGGTGGTGCAATAACACAGACAACAGCACTACATCACAGTCAAACCGTGAAACACAGCAGCTACATTTGTAGTCTATATTTGGTGCACACTCCAGATTTGGTGTAATTTCTTCAATGAAAGATTTTGGAGCAATATTCATTTAGTATTTGGTGAATGGGTCTTTAAAATCTCACTAAATGTTAAACGGCATTTTTAGCCCCAATAGCAACTGTTGAACCCTGCCACTCCAGAAATAGCACTGACTTAATTAACCGAGAGCGCTGCATGTCTTAGTACCACTCACTGACTTTTTGCAGTGATCACTCCAAGAGAAAAGCAAAAAGAAGTCTTACAGTCTTCACATTAGGAGACGATAAGTCACTAATGTCACCCCAAATCGTGTATGTACTACATTCACTGTTTTCTTTAAATTTAGGGATGCATTAAAATTTTGGTTAAAAAAAAAAACAGCACTTTCACAAAAAACCAATAGACTTAATAACACTGAGAAACTTGTTCCGTTCATCATTCTGCGCTGGACAGCACTGATGCATTCAAACAGTTTGAGCAGCAGCAGATCAACAGTGAAACACAAACAAGGTCCGCTGCAGCTGAGATGTAGTCTTAGTTTTTTTTTAGATTTAATTAAATTCTTTAATGGAATCACATACATAATACAGGGTGATTCAAAAAGATTCATCCGATTTCAAAGCGCCATATTTTTACAACGATGAGGCGCTGAGGAACCAATCACAATCCAATTGGAAAAGGCGGTCATAATGTTTCTGGTTGTCAGTGGAAGATGGCTCCCTTCAGTCTGAGAGGAGATGAGACCCCTGAGCAGAAAGCGTTCTGCGTTCTCCACTTCAATAAGAGTGAATCCGTCATAACTGTGCAGTGTGATTTTCGTGGGCAGTGAAGCTCCAACAGCTCAGAGCGTTCGCCGTTGGTTCTACAACACTGGATGATCTCCGAAATCGCACTGAAAGAGCCGTGAGTGCAGAGACACCCGACATGCTCAATCCAGTATGGGATGAGTTTGACTATGGTGTTGATGTTGTCTGTACAGCTGGAGGAGGTTCAGACTGAGACCTTGTACAATTACATAATAAACTTTATGCTCATTTAAACCATTTACAGTTTACTGCACTGATCTGTAATGATTTACAGGTGAAATAAATCATTTTGAAATTGGATGAATCTTTTTGAATCACCCTGCACTAGTAACTCAATATCTTTCAGTAATTACATTTTATACCTTTTGTTTTGGCTATAGTGACTACTAGTATGCTAATAACACTCCCTGCTTCAGATTCCAAAGCCATGTCTGTGTGCATTTCCACTGTTATTACAGAGGTGCCTTTGGGAAAGTATGAAGTATTATGTTTTCATAGTTTTACAACTATCAGTATTTAATATAATTAAATTAAATTAGTCCTCTCATTGTTTGTCAGTTCTCTTTCTCAACATGGCAGCAATTGAAGCATCTTCAGCATTCCCTGCTAAAAAAGATTGCACAGACCAGCAGGCATCCCTGCTAATCTAAGCTGGTTTAGGCTGGTCTGGCACTTGTTTATATATATATATATATATATTGATAGCATATATAACTTTCAATGTATGGTTCTTTTAAAGAGGATCCACTTCATTTAAAGGTTCTAGAAAGAAACCTTAAATTGGTACATTTAAGTGAAGGTTTTTAACTTTAAAAGGTTTTACACACTTACAAATCTCTTTTATTGGAAATAGGAACTAAAAACCTGCAGGTTTTTGTTGGAGCCAGTCATTTAGATTGTCTTCATTTGCATAAAGTTTAACTCACTTTCTCGCTTGTCACTAAATCACAGCTTCAGATCTCTCAAAGGAAATGACTGGTCTCCCGTCACTCTGTCGCCTGCTAATGTGAATGCAAGGTCAGTCTTCAAGGCCTGATGTTTTTGCCCCAGAGTTGTTGGGCTTCAAGATCTTCCATAGAGAGTCAGTGTTTAGAAACTCAGGAAGCCGGTGTTTGTATCAGGACCACCCACCAGCGTCTCACCTAGAGCTGCTCTCTAAATCTTTTTAACCCCCTTCTCCTTCTGCCAGGCTACAGGGAGCAGGCAGCTGCCCAGCAGCTCTGAGGAATCTGCCCACATGAAGCCACGAGTGTGCACTTTTTAGCCGGTGCTGTCCGGCCAGCATGGACAGGAGAGTTGAGGTAGCCTTCACAGGGACCGGGAGAAGGGCTAACTACAGTAAGCTTCTCAGCCTAATTGGAATTCCACACTGCTGGAATGGCGGATGTACAGTATCCCCGAAACGCTACAAAGTGCTCTGTGAATATTAAAGGAATACCGCTAACGTGCCAACTGTCTGTGTGCTAAACTCGTCCGATCCTGTCAGGGCTAACTTCTCATTAATCTGTCTTCTCTTCAACCTTACTGTACATTAAATGGAATGTAGGACATGTGCCACACACATATGATGTACATACAAGCTGAAATGGTTTAGGTGAGAGGTCTTCAGATCCGGACCTGGAATTTTACAGTCCTGTGTTTTGTATTCAGTGGTAGTTAATTGAACTGTACCTGATTGGCCACCTAGTGTCCTCCAGTGTAAAGAGTTTTTGGTAACACTTTCTATGAATGTCACCTTTGTAAGCATCTATAAACACATTCATAACATGTTATAATGCATTCATAAGACATTATAAACATAGCTGTAAATATTTATAAAAATGCATTATACGTTATAGCCATGTTTATTATGCATTATGAATTGTTAACATAATACATTGTAAGTACTGATCATAACAAATTATAAGAGCTCATAAGTTGTATTAGTCCGCTCTAAGTAAAGTGAAGCGTACTGTACTAAAGCCTCCTCCAGTGTTCAGAGTGAGGCTTCAAGTTGAAGTATTTACTGAAGGATTTACTGAAACACTAAAACATTCACAGTAAAGCACATTACAGGCTTCAAATGTCAGAGTTTAAACTAGAGCTGCCATCAGTGTTTTACCCAATGTGGGAAAGGTAATGTTCACCACCGTTAGCTTGGTATTTGTCTTTACTTAACACTCTCCAAGCTGGGACTGACTTATTTGGCACTGACAGTATAACATGTTATTAACACTATTTATAATGCATTATATTAACAATTCATAATGTATAATAAACATGGCTATAAAGTGTAATTCAGTGTAATTCTTTTTTATAAATATTTATAACCACGTTCATAATGCCTTATGAATACATTATAACATGTTATAAATGTGTTTATAGATGCTTACAAATGCGACATTCATAGAAAGTGTTACCGAGTTTTTTTTAATTAATTGAGGTTTTAATGATCTAACCCAGTGGTTCTCAAACCGTGGTACACCTCAGGGGTACAGCGAATAACATTGGGAGTGTCTCACTCCAGCTCTTTCTGAGCACTGAGCATTCAGGAAAAACCAACAACAGTAGAGTTAATTCAGTTTATCGTCCACTGCTGTGTGCGTGGATGAAGTGAGTGTCCTTTCCTGTCTTGTTAAGGCCTTTATGATGCTTGTTAACCATGTATTTGACCATGTATTTGATTTAGTTTCACTTTCACACACACAGTTTAGATCACCATTATAGTGAGTTATGTTTTAGTAACTGATCATTTGCTGTGATCAGCACTTAGTTATTAGCATTTTGTAACATGTTTGTAGCCATGCTAAACTTGAGCGGATGATGTTACTGTGATATACACAGTATTTTTTTTGTATTTTGTAACTCGGTGTTCATTTAACAGCCGTAGAAACTCTTTCTCACACACATGTTCACTCATATTGATGCTGCAGCCTTTATGATTACAAATAAAGAAAGTTCAGTCCTCTGTTACCCTGAGCTCTGACAGGAACTCCAGAGGGACCCACGCCTGTAATACACTAGGACAAAAACATCTCTAGCATTATTAATTTATGAAATACTTTTCATTTTAAGGTAAACATTAATCAAAGCCCTGAAGACCCGTCAGAGTTCCACCCCAGTGACAGTTCAGTACATTTTTTCTGAGGTTGTACATCTGGTGTGTTGTCATCGCATCGTAAACGTATAGAGGTATACAGCAGGGAGAACCGGTCTAACCTAAACATTTTACTGTGCATTGTTTTATTCAAAGTATTTTAAAGTGAGTTAAAATCCAGTTCAGTTTCTTGTTAGCATATTTAAGTAGCTTTTTAAAGGGGAATTTCATCAGCTTTTAAATCATTATGATGTAAACAAAGTCATTCAGAGTGGTTTGATATAAAAAAAACGCCCATTTTAGAGAAACTTACTGACTCAGAGTTCTTTACAGTGGTGGTGATAGGAACCAGGGGTCACCATGACTACAACACAAATATAGCCACTTTATTTACTATCTAAAACTACCAGTGAACCTACACATGTGTTCTAATGTAAAATTAATAATGATAAATAGTGGAATCTAAAAGAATTTTCTTTAGCTCTATTTGAGCTGGATACGTTTTGCCTGGGCAGGTACTTTAATTTGAATGGTTACTTAATTTGAATGATTACTTATCCAGTACAAATAATAAGTAATGTGATACCAAATTCTGGTAATAGATACCAGCGCCTCTGTTTTTTGGTGAGAGGAGACAAAGCTAACTGTGAAAAATTCAGTTCTTGGCACAGTTCATTTGTGCTCAAGTTGGGCAAAATGTGTTCAGTTAAATGAGCCCTTTTTTGTAGATGTTCTATTTGATTTTAACTGGAAGTTAATTTTGTTGTTTGTTTAGATCAGTTTAATTCTAATCTTAACGCCGAAGTGAACGACCAGGCTATGACATTTCAATCAAGGCTATCGGAGGTAATTTTGGGAATTTACACAGATACTGTATCCCGTATGAATCGGCCAGTCAAATCCCTGAAATAACTGACATTACCAGACCTCCTCTGGTAAAACTAATCCAGCTCGAATAGGGCTTTAGAGTACAGCAACATGTATGTACCTCTCCACCATGAAAATGTTTTAGAAATTACATTTTACACCAAAATCTCAAAATATCTCAAAACTACTGTAAATCAACATCTCAGACAATCAGACAATGCAGCTGTGACCATTTAATATACTAACTTTGTGTGCGGTAGCATTTAGAGGCATTAAACCGTTCAGATGTCTGGTTCCTGTCACCACCACTGTAAACAATTCTGACTCAATAAATTTCTCTAGAATGGAGCATTTCCAAAAAAACACTCTGAAAGATTTTGTTTACATCTTAACTATTTAATTAAGCAAAAATGTTTTAAAAATTGCCCTTTAAAAAGAACTGACAGACGTGTTTCTCCCACTGACTGCAAATCCAGGACCAGATACTGGATTCAAGGTCCAGCTTTGAAGACCTCTGGTTTGCTTCCTTGTAAAGAGCTTTGGCCGGTTTAATGAAGTGGCTTTATGACTTAAAGTCATCCTCGCCAATGTTTGGTAATTGCTCTGCGCCCTATACGCTACACTGTACAGAGCAGTCTATAATGTATAAATGAGTACAGCTTCCACTCAGTATTTCTATATCATTTATGTATTTTACAACACTGTAGGTAAACTTTCTTCCAACTCTATACTGTATTTTGTTTTTTTTTTCTAAATTTTTAGTACCTTACTGCCCTCCAAGACTGTAAGTAAAAACAGGGCAGTGTGTATTATTTATTTATCAAATGATTTTGTACATCATAAACAGTAGCTGTTCTGCATGGAAACCATGATTTTCAACATAACATAAATCACTGTTTGTCTCATTTATCTTGACCTCAAAGCAGAAACACAAACAAGTATTACCTTCTGTAGTTGACTGTGTAAGTATTTATTGGTTGTTTAGTGCAGCGTTCATGCCAGATCATTCAGCGAAATGTGCTCATGGCCGGTTGCCATAGAGACAGGCCGCTTGAACTGCTCAAAGGATGAAATAATGTGATTAGGTTGAGTTATTTTCATTACAATGACAAGCAAAGTGGCCAATTGCCCAAAATGATATCAGACTTAAGAGCGAACCTGAAAAAATTACCCACTTGTTCAAAATTGTTCAGACTTAATGGATATTCCAGCGTTCTTCACCCTAATCTCAAGTCTCAGGGTGGGATCATGAGAGGATGGCTTTAAAGCTGTTCTTGTGAAGCTTTATCTCCGGAGCCATACAGCAAAAACAGCTAATCCAGTTATTTTTCACTTTCCCTTACAGTGTTTGGTACCCATGCATGATCAGGCAGGATCCCTTAGCAAGTGAAACCTTATTAAATCCAGTCATAATATGTAATATTTCTCCTGAAATGTCTGCCGGGATTGTACAAGATTAGTACAGGATTTATTTACCTATTTCTTGACATTTTTTACTTGATTGAAGTTATTTTATCTAGTGGAAGTTTCTTCTGTTGGCAGACGTTGTGCTTGTTTAAGTACTATTTCTTGAAAAAGCAACATTATTTGCCAATGGAATTAAATATTTTCACTGGATAAAATTGTTAAATCCAGTAAAAATGTCTGAAAATATATTAATCTTTTAATATTCTTTTAACAATCTCAATATGAGAAATATTAGATGCTTGAATAGATTTAAGATGATTTGAAGATATTTTTTGCAGTGCACCTAAAATTCTTGCCTTTAGAAAATTAGTTTAAGCTCTAAAGTAATCAATTGTACAGATTTACAGCTTTTTGTAGAGCAGTGTTTCCAGTCGACAGGTTTTCTGTTCTTTTCTCCATGACCTTCCAGATGCAGCAGATACAGATTAGATTGAAAACACTGGAGTAACACTATGAAATAACACCTGTGAAATTATTTAGTTATCAAAACTGTTAATCTAATTAAAACTGATCTTTAATATATATATAATCTTATATTTTAGATTCTTCAAAGTAGCCATCATTAGTCTTTAGGACAGCTTTGCACATTCTTGATCATTCTCTCAAACATCTTCCTGAGGAGCCACCTCGGATGATTTTCTAATGTTTGAAGAAGTTTCAGAAATTATGAGACCTAATTTAATGAAAAGTATTTTAATATTTAAGCTGTCTTTAGAAGTAAAGGTGCCAAAAAGGGCTCTTTGCACAATGCCATAGTTTTGGTTCCCCTAAAAACCTTTTAATGGATGGTTCTTTTAAAGAACCTCCACTTTGTTTAAGATGAGATAAGACAAGATAATAAGATAAGATAATCCTTTATTAGTCTCACAGTGGGAAAATTCTCACTGCTACAGAAGAATTAACAAGAGAGAATTAACAAGCAAGTAATTAACCTCAATAATTACTCAAGGTTACAGTTTGTAACTTGTTACTAGATAAACAGTATATATAATACTAAAGGTAAAAAAGGTGAAAAATTTTTAGTCTATCCCTCACAAAATTAACAATATAAACAAGTATAAATAAAAAAGCCAAAAATGTTTACATTGTAAGGATATTTTACCCACATTGTACATAGAGTATTGATTTACAGTATATTACATAAGGGAATGGTGATGAATTTACAATTTAAACATTGTAAATAGAAAAGCAAAAGATCTTTACAGTATAGCGATACATATTTCACATGGAGTGTTGATTATATTACACACAGGAAATGGTGATGAATTCAAGCTTTAAAGCTTCTAAAGAGAAACATCAAACTGGTACATTTAAGTGAGGTTTTTTAACCTTAAACTGTTGATCTTTTAAGGTTAAAATCTGTTTTTCA